AAAAAAGAAACGTTCATTGCAATTCATAATGAAGATGACAAATTTGCAGTATGCTAAGTTGATATTGCCGCATGTGGGTCTCGTGTTGCTTACATGTGCTTATACAGTAATTGGTGCCTTGGTTTTCTATAGCGTTGAACAGCCACACGAAATGGCCAGTAAACGTCGTCAGGTATGAATCTTTCATTGCTCGATTTGCAGAGTGGTTATACTAAAACGATCATAAATTTGCTGGCTAACTTTTTGAAAGCCGTAAAATGTTTGGCAGAATTCAATCGTACTTAAGGATCGTTCCGGCTGAAATTTGAACAATTCTAATCAAAAATTTGACGGAATTCAATCGAAAGTAAAATTTTTAGTTCATAATAATGAACGATAGTTCTATGGCCGTGACGATGTAATGACTGAGAGTCTCATTTCATCGCATTGATTGCCATCATGAAAAGAGTAGTTGTTTCTTGGATGTTCAAGAAAAAATTGTTGAAAACTCCGCTCTCAGGTTTTGCCATCAACTTGCAGTTAATACTTAAGCAGTAGGTGAATGAAATTGCAGTTGGATATGATCTATAAACGTGAAGATGAATTTGTGAATTCGCTATTTACGTTGGCCATGTTGAATGAGACAAGACGTGAGGTATGGACAGAGGTGGCACGTCATCATATGCACAATATGAGTGACCATTTATTTAGCGCTTTCGAGAAATTCTTTTTAACCTCAGCCGAAGTACGAGCGAATGACACCATTGAGATTTGGTCATTCTCGACGTCAATATTCTTCGCGGTCACTGTTGTTACAACCATCGGTATTATTACTCTCCTTGAAAATGTTTCATTCCATTTAACATCTGTTGATTATATTATTCGTTATGTATCATCAGATGATTACTTGTGGTTCTCATACGGGGTAGAATTACCGATTTCATTCCATTTAACATCTGTTGATTATATTATCCGTTATGTATCATCAGATAATTACTTGTGGTTCTCATACGGGGTGGAATTACCGATTTTGGGTAATTTGGAGGTGTCAAGGGTTAATGGAGGGGGTCGAGAATTTAGTATTTCGTGCAGCTGTTATTTTATGAGAGAATGTCATCGTAAGGGCTTTTTTAACTCGGATATGTGGTTAGTTGATGGCAATATTCTCATATTTTCTGAGTATTGTCAGCTCGTAAGGGCCTAACAGGGTTTTCGTACGTTTTAACAAGGTTTTCATT